ACTTTCGTGACTCCCGGCAATTAGTTCCTTTACTCTTAACCGAAAGGTGGACCTCCACCTGCACTGATGATGACTGGACCTTCAGTCATGTACAATCTATTTCTCACATTTCGGCCCTCACCCCTTCCCCTCATTCGTAGAACAAGCATAGGGTCCTCTTGTCTTCACCTTAACTTTATATTCCACTAGTTTCTACATTCAAAGGGTCATCTTCTGCCATTTCTGCTACTTCCAGCAGGATGCCACCAATAAACACATCATCTTCTTCTAACCTCCACTGTCAGAATTCCGCAGGGACCATCACTCCATGAGACCCTGGTCCACTCCGCTGTCGTTCCTAAAATGTCCTCACACCCCATGGTACCTTCCTATGTAATTGCAGAAGGTCTAACTTCCCCACTTATCTTCTCCCTTCTCACTGTCCAAGGCCTCAAACACATCTTTCGTGTGAAGGAGCATTTCACTTTCTTCAGTCTAGTCTTTTCTATTTCCTGTTCACAATGCAGTCTCCTTTACATTGGTAAGACCAAAAGCAGACTGGGTGGCTGCTTTGCAGAACCCCATCCTCTGAGTCTGAAGGAATAACCCAGACTTTCTAGTTGCTTGCCATTTCAATAAACCCCCGTACTCTCATGCAAACATTTCTGTCTTTGATCTGCCGCAACATCTCACTTTCCAATTAAGCATTTTACCCCCTCTATGACTGATTATTGAATATTCTGAGAACATATCTTGTCAATTGACGAGAAATTGAACTGGGCCTAACCATGTAATGCTGTGGCTACAACAGCAAGTCAGAGACAAGAAATTCCGCTGTGGATAATTAGCTCCCAACTTTGGAGTTTTGGAAATTAGTTAGGAAATTCCTGCACCTTGGATTTCTGTAGTTCTCCATTTAAGTAATACTCTGCCTTTTTGTTTATTCTGCCAAAATGAACAACTTTACATATTCTCACCTTCTATTCCATCTACCAAATTTTTGGTATTTGATATGACTTTTGTGTAAGTTTGAGATACTTTTACATTGTTTAATTTACATTTTATATGTTTAAATCTCATATAATTTTACCAGAAGATGAAAATCTGGATTTTGGATTATTGAAAGGATCGAAAGATCTAGATGTATTTTTATTGATGAGAAATAGTGAATAAAATTAAATTTTTTAAATAAAGGATTTGATGCAAAGGAGTACTTTTTGAAAAACTACAAATGAACAGTCGGGGACAAAATTAGAGCCTGAAACTAAATGTTAACCCTATTATAAGTCTGCACCTTTATGATAAAATGCTGCTTTTGAAGGTTTAAAGTAATTGCATTCTGATGCAGTTCATGTTCTGATTAAGAGTTTAATGAGCTGAATGAAAGTTTTCTATTGTATTAAAATCATTGTTAAGACAACAGTACATATGACCTTTGAATATTATGCAGTTCTTGATGAAAATGTGCATGTTACTTCCTGTATTGGCGATTTAAATGTTGGCCTAGCCTTGGTTTATGGTAAGCTAATTGATTTTTGTGCATGTGACAGTTACAGGTAGATGTGAAAAATGATTACATAGCGGTGGGATGCCCAATTTTGACAAACAGGAGGCTGGAAGAGTGCAGCAAGTCAGGCAGCATCTGAAGGAAAGGAGCAGTCAACGTTTCAGGTTACCTGAAACGTTGACTGCTCCTTTTCTCCAGATGCTGCCTGGCTTGCTGTCTTCTTCCAACCTCCTGTTTGTCTACCTTGGATTCCAGCATCTGCAGTTATTTTTGTCTCTAACCAAGGATGCCCAATGCTACTGGCTAAAAGAGGAGAAAGAAAAATATTGTGAGAATGGATGAAGACAGATGGCATTTCCCTTCCCTCAACTTCCCATCAGGGTTTTGAAAAGATGTTGAAAAATTACTGGGGTAAGGCAGGTGCACATTTTGTATTGCACCTTTTATGGGACAAGAATTTGGTATGGACTTTAGATCTGCTCTATTTCTTCCCAGGAATGCCTTGTTTCCTGCAGGTTTTAGTTCATTCTGAAAAATGCCTGTCCTCTGAGTATTATGTTTATATCTAAATTATAAATTAACTATCCTGTTTGTGACATTAGCTGTATGGTATGATTTGATGAGTATGACTGTCAGACAGTTGCTTGATTAATCTGTGGTCCAGCTATCCTATATTTTGGCACACATCCCCAGAATCAAGTAAAGAAGACTCTACTAGGTCATTTCAAGGGTCTAGGTCGATGGAGGGTGGTTCCATCAATATTATTCTTCAACTTTTCTAACACAAGTTGACACAATTGAATGATTTGCTTGGGGCAGTTGGCTGAGGGCAGTTCAGAGTCCACCACATTGCTGTGCAGTCAGTTGTATGTCAGACTGGGTAAGGATATCAGATTTCCTACCTTGACGGACGTTAGTTTTTATATCAATCCTGTAGTTTCGTGAGACATTATTTTTATTCTGAATGTGTTAGCTAACCGAACTAAACTCCCCAGCTGAGATTTGAGCTCATGACTCAAACATTAGTTTAAAACTCCGGCTTACTAGTTCTATAAAATTACCATTATGTTACTGTTTCCTTAGACGTTTGCTGTGATGATTCCAAACCAGAAGTCCCTGTTTAGTTGCTTCATCAAAGATGGATGCTGTGTTACCCAATAGCATTTCCATTTAGTATGACTTGCTTTGTTTTTGTAGAAATTAGCCTCTAGCCGTTGATTAGTACCCAAAACTTTAATTGGACTCCATTTGACATGATGGCCCTGATTTTTTTTCTGCATATGGCTAATACAGCAGTCATTTTTTTTCTGGTGCTATGTTATTGGTACAGAGATAGCAAGAATTGCAGATGCTGGAGTCAGAGACAACAACAGTGTGGAGCTGGAGGAACATAGCAGGCCAGGCAGCATCAGAGGA